TCTTTCCTGACTGAAACCAGCACACCCAGAAATACCAGCTTTATACGGTAGTAGACCAAAAGAGATATCACATGGTCATTGAGTTCTGGGAACATGATGTGGGTCATCTTTTCCACATCCATTCAGAATTTACTTCTATAGTTCTTTTAAAGCACCTATTGTTATCCAATGAAATAAGGAATACCCATTAGGCATATGTATTATAAAAGCAAAATTAATGTGAGAGTATATCCTTAACTACTGTTTCCAGTACATGATTATTCTTTTGCTAGTCTTTATTTTCCAGTTTTCTGTCTCCTGTGCCTGTTTGGCACTAAACAAGGAACAGCAGGTAAGAAAAGTTTCTGATTCTCATGTAATCTATAGCGTAATACTATAAATATAGATGTACATAGACACATATATTTATGTATAGTCTCAGACAAAATGGGGAGAGCGTATTTTAAGAAAATCAGCATTAGCCTTTTAAATAAGGTCTAGACCTTAGGCAGTGCTTGGCTCTGGTAGCTAGAAAGAAATACATCTGGGTCCTGAAATGACTTCCAGCTGTCTTGGTTTTTTCCAAATTGTTTTAGTTTTAGGCTTCTAGTATGGTCACAAATGTAGCAGCATGATATCTTGACTAGATCATGTGTTCAGCAATTCCAGATAAGCTGGTGAAATCTACAATAATCATAATGTAAAGATGATAAAGCCACTGAATTGTTGTCATGTAACTGGAAAGATTGTAACTACATTAGGAACAGAGGTGACCCTGAAGTGTGAAAGTAAAACCAGGTTCCTTGGGGTATAGTGACTAATTCTTACTGCATTAGAAGCAGGCCAAGGGTACACAGGGACTAAATAATCATCTTTTTACATGTAAGCACACTTTTTGTTTGAAGTCTGAGCAGTCCCGGTTAGATGTTCTAGTGCTCCTGTTGGGTTTAGGAAAAAGAAAGGAAGGAAATTAATTATAACTATGAATGTGCTGCTGCTAGGTGCTGCTATTTCATATTTGAACTAATATATTATCCTCGACTTCAGGACTTGAGGGTTTTAGTTAGGGACTTATCAACTTGACCTAGTATATTGCTTTGCAATTAAATGCAAAACAGTTCAATTAATATGGTATTTATTTGCTTATGCCTTCTAGAGTCAACTTCTTGAGGTGGGATGGAATAACACTAACAGCGCAAGAACAGATATTGAGAGAAATCTGAATTGTTGTGGATTCAGAGTTTTTGATCCAAATGAAGTCTGCTTCTCTGTAAGTTCTTCAGGCATGAAAAAACTTAAAACTTCATTGTGTTTGTTCAAAGATGTACAGCTGTTTTCATAGCTGCAGAAAGCAGAGTTTTTTTAAGAAAGGTGTAAGGTAGTTGTTACGATGATACTGAGCTCTTTAGTTAACTTATTGGAAACATAATCACACAGCACCCTGCACAAGTGGTACTCCATTGTCATTTATGTACTTGTTTATTTGGAGTCTTTAAAACTGCTGAAGTTTTGTCCATGGCTGGCAGTCTTTTATAGTGCTAACTAGATGCTTTCGGTCAATGAAGTGAATTCATCAGAAAATGGAGTGCAATTCTATGTTTGTATCTGCTGCAGGATTGTTTTAGACATCACCAGTGTCAGCCATGTGCACCTATACTGGAAGAATATTCTGGAATGGTGCTGAGATTTGTTGGAGGCATAGGACTCTTCTTCAGTTTCACAGAGGTAAGGGAGTAGGAGGTTAGAAAATTGCACGGCTTTCCCCTACTTTTAAGGCTTTTTTTGTGAAACAATTAATTTTATGGGGCTTATTGCAGGAACTCTAAGTACTATTGCGGGAGCCAAATAATTAATTAGGTCAAATTTTTCTAGGCTATCAGCCTATTCAAGTCTGCTAAAAGGAGGGCTTGTCTTAATTCAGCACTGGGAGTTATTGCAACGTTATTTAGTCTACAAAGCGCAACTAGATCCCACATTAAAATGTGGTGCTGTAAAGTGTTGCAGAAAGTTGGGTTTCAGGTTTACCATTCTCCAAAAGCAAGAAAAAGAGCGCTGATGCTTTTACCTTGTTCCCCTCTTCTTCCTACTTGTCCCTGCCCATGCACACACAGGGGTTTTTTGTGCCTCCTGTAGTGCAAACATACAGTTCGCTCATCATGAAACTCTGTTTTAAACATTAGGGTAAAGAGGTCTTTGACTCTCTGCTTCAGCATCTAGATGATACACCTACTTGCTTTATTGATCCTCAATAAAAATCCTCAGAGCAGGTCTTCCATAACACCACGGTAGGCCATGCGAAAATACTCTTCCTGCTGCTTAGTGCAGTTTTCAGAAGGATCTGTAGAGACTGCAGCAACAGAGAGATACAGCAACTTAAAACAGAACCACTCTGACATCTGCCCTCAACTTCCCTGCCAAAAACATGAAGGTGCTGCGGGGGGGGAAGATGGTTGGGGAAAATGACAAGATTTGAAAATGTAATAGAAAAATAGCCTTAGAGTTAAGTGGTAACTTTAAAATGAAACAATTCTGAAAATTTATCGTTGCACAAAAACTGGCTTTATGAATATTTATCATTTGGGGAGGAGGAAGAATAATTTAATGCTAGACATGCCTATGGGAAATATTTTGCATTGTGGACAGTTTTGCCTTTTTTGTGGTGGTGTTCTCTCTCTTGCTAGGTATGAATTCTTTCTGAGAAGGTGCAGTGTTTTTCCTAATTAAGAAGAGCTGGTGTGGTGTTGTGCAATTTTAGCAGTAGTAAAATATCCTAAATGTGTACTGGAAGTTCATTGTCAGGATTTTACACTTGAAACAAACTTTGTAAAACTTACGGAAGATGGGGTGGAGACCTTCTGTTCAATAATATCTTTGGTTTTGTTTTCAGATTCTGGGAGTCTGGCTGACGTACAGATACAGGAACCAAAAGGATCCCCGTGCAAATCCTAGTGCATTTCTTTGATAAGTTTATTAAGGACTGAATCTTCTCTCTGCACCCTCTACTTCAAAATACTGATTCTCCATAGTTTGGTATTTCTCCATTGTAGGGGTTCTATGTGTACCCAAAATAAAACTTTATTTCCATAAGAAATTGGCAGTTTTCATATTAATTTCCCAGTATTTATCTTTAAGACTGTATCTTGAAGTAGACTGGTGCATTTAGTAGCTGGGCAGAGTCAAACTGCTGCTCTGAGATGGTTAAGTAACGCTGTTAAGACTTTGGTAATTGATGTGGTGAACTCTATACAGTCAGTTTTACTGCACTACTGGCTTCTCTGGTGTCCAAAAAACCCAAAGTATTTTCTGCTGTATTCATTGATTATTCAAAGATTCACATGGTTTCTCATTCAAATGATAAAATTACGTGGTGTGTGGTTGGACTGTATGATTTGATTAGGCTTTAGGATGAACTGTAGTCAACTGTTGTCTTAATAGTGGTCTCCCACTTTCCTGTTAAGGTAAAAATAGAAGCTAAAGATGTTATTTTCTGTAGTGCACATAAATGTATGTTAATGACTACTGTAGTCTTCACCCCTCTCCTTCCCTGTTTGTTTTGACTGTCTAGTAGCTTTAGAGTTTTGTTGAGAATAAAAATAATTCTTTACTTCTTAATGGATATCTTCACTATGAAAACAATGAATGAAGAAAACCAGGAGAATGTAATCTGCAACTGATTAACTTGAAACTATTTTCTTTGACGAGTGAATGAAGTTTGGTATTTGCACATCAGCATCAATAGTGATCTGTCATCTTTATGTAAGAAACTTCGTGTCTGGAAAGTTGTTGTACGGCTATTTTTTCAGGTGGTGTAAAATTATAGTTGTAATAATTCAGCAGTATGTATTCCTCTCTCATCCCGCTGACAGTCTTGATTTCATGAGAGATTGAATGATGTGTAGAAGAGAAAGAAAAGAAAAATGGTGGTTTTCAGTAGTTTATTAAAAAAGAATATAAGTTACTACGTGGTGATGTACTGTTCTGAGTGTTTCAGCGGAAGGCAGGCATGGTCCCTCTTTCCAACCTGGAATAGAATAGGTGCATCAACTGGAACATGAGACATGTAAACATGTGAGATGCATGATGTTCCATTTGTTTCTAATCACACTGAATTGCAGACCTGCGCTGCAGCTTTTCGGTTGCTGCTTCTGGTGTGGTAGGCAGCTGCGATAGCCTGAAAGATGGCTCTGCAGGAAGAAAAGGGGAAGAGTATTATGGCCGTCTGCCAAGGAATATAGGAGCTGAGTGAAGCGGAAAGGAGGACAGTGAGGGCAGACAGAAGTGGGTTCTCATACAGTCTCCTTTTAGCTAGGGAGATGCCTCCTTGCTCCTGCAGAGGAGACAGAAAGAAGTTGAAATACATGCCCATCAGAACCCTTTCGGACTTGCATGTGCCCAGTCCTCCTAAAGAAGAAATTGTCTCGAGGTTTTAAACGCGAAGAGTTGAACCTGAAAGCAGAGGGATGTAAGGAACGCTAAAGACAGCTTCTTTTCAGGTGTAGCTTGTTCTTCAACATCTGCCGTCAGCGCCATCTCCTGGTGTTTGCTCTGTGAATTACTGCGGCTATGTTGAGCAGTATTGATGCCTGTTTCAAGCACATACCTGTACCTTCAGCATAAGAGCCCACTCATGTACTGAAGGACCTTAAGAGCCTTCAGACTATTACTTAGTATAGAGTAAATGTACGCAGCTTCTCCCCATCCCCAAGTGTTGTCCTGCTTAAGCAACTAACCAGTTGTTCTCAGTATGTGTCGAGAGGACAGAGATCATCTTGTTGGCTGTGTTCAGCAAGTTAATTTTCCTAGTCTAGACAGGCTCTGTATTTTGTACATTACTGTAATAAATTAAAGGAGGAGTCTTATGGAGAGGGTGTATGAAACTTGAAATAATACCACATTGCTGCTTGAATTTTGACTTTTTTCCTAATTTCTTCAGTGCTTAGTTTTGGGTGGATCTGATCTCATAAATATGGTAGGTGATATCTGAGCATAAATGTGCATCACTGGGAAAATACTGCACATATTACCACTTTGGAAACTCTATTGTCTCAGAACATATGAATTTGTTTCAGTAGTCAAAAGACAGATCAGTGGATTGTATGGTTTGATTAAAGTTTTTCTATCATATTAATAATACTTTGTCTCTTCAAGACTGTGATTTAAAACAACCAACCAACCCCCGAAACAACACACTCCTTGAAATGTATATTAGAGATGTGGATTCACTTTCGGAACCCTAATTCTTAAGGGGGAGGGCTAATAAAACACATTGAGCCTGCCTTTGGTTTTTTTGGGGGAAGAGAGTAGCCTCCCTCAGGAGAGGTCTGACTCACAGGTCAGTGTACAAGGAATGTTGTACTCTTCTGACTTGTTGAAGTAGGGCATTTTAAAAAAGTATTTATACCTATTCTTTCTTGCTGGGTTTTGTCTTTGAAGTTTGTTTATTGTTTTGTTTTTCTTCTTGAGAAAATAGTTTTGGTCGTATAAAGCTTTTTTTTTTTTTGGTTTGTAGAGAGGAATTTTAATTTTTATCTGACTGCTTGAGAATTGTACTTAATTGTAACCAGCTTTTCCATAAGCTGTTTACAGCAGCAGTGTGTCCAAATAATGCGGTTTACCTTGGAGGAGGATTCTTAGTGCTTGCATTCCATGTCTAGTTACGTTGAAATGCTTTCTGAATGTTTGTTATTCTGGGAAATGTAGAAACCTGTCTTCCTTCAAGGCACCTGCACGTTTTTATCACATGAAAATAACTGGCTGTGAAATACTAAAATGTAGTTGTTCTGCCTCTGTACAAGAAACTGAATCCAGGTCTTGACTAACATGCTGATACCACTGTACAGCATCTGCCTTCTTTCACACAAGAATAACTATTAGCATGTTTGCATGACTTGAATTGATACCTGTATAAATGTACTTGAAAATCTGTAGCTGATAAAGAAATAGGAGTGGATTGGTATTACTAACCTGCATTATTATTTTTAGGGCTAATAATTTAAAGATTGTCTGAATGCTAGTGGAGTTCTGGCCACGCCATTCAAGTTACTGAGCATATATACTTTGGAATGATTTCCCAGGTTTTCCAAAGAAATGGAAAAAAGGTGTTTTTTTTAGCCACCTCAGCTTGGCTTGATGCCTCTGTAAATCTAAATCATAGTTTCTTGATACGTGCAGGCTGAACTCTGTTGTGTGTTTGCATCTGTAGCACGTAGACTGCTAGACTCTTGTAGAATGTGCCTTATCCATTTGCTGGCTGTCCGTAGCATCAGTGCATCTGCTTAAGAAAATCACGCTCCTTCAGTAGAGTTACAGAATGAGACTTTTAACATGTGATGGCACGGGCAGCTTTTATTTGTCAGATACACAGCTCTGGCACATGTACTTTGGGTGGAGTAGATGAAGGTGATTCTGATAAGCAGTTGGTGCAGCCTCCCTCCGTATCGTCCCTCTGCGCAGTGCTGTAACCACATTTTTAGCTCTTTATGGATGATAGCTGCTTCTAGAGAATATTTCTGCCCCTGCTGCATCCTTCCCCCCTCTCTGCCCCATCTTCTGCTTGGAAGGGAAAAGGGAAAGACCTTTCTGCAGCAAAGAATTTCCCCATCACAGTTAAAGGATGCTGCAACAGAAAGGAACATCTTAACTGCTGAAGGAATGTTGAATTGCATGTCTGGCACCATTTCTGGGTACCACCTCAAGTTTTCTGGTTGGTAGGGTTCACATAGCTTGCCAAAGACATACTGGCAGGTGCCTTGCTTCTCATTTTGCTGAGACATTCCCTCGAGCTGAAACCTTTGCTTCTTTTGCCTGTCCTACCTTCTGAGGTGTATTCCTCTCTGGTGGTTATCATCATGGCTGGTGGTGGTAGTAATGGTAACAGGAGTGCTAAGGGTGGCTGACATCGCCCAAAGGTGAGAAAGTGATGGAGGTGTGGTCCTGGGCAAAGCGTTCGTCACTGGTGCTGCTGCTGAGCTCTTAGATATTTGAGGTTGGAAAGTCTCCTTTTGGTCTGTCTTCAGGTGAATGTCTTCCATGCTGTTCAGCTGCAGGGTTGCTTTTAGTTCTGGCTTCTCATGTCCCTTTTGGGCTTGTAAATCACAAGCAATCACAAGTTGTAACACAGTCTTGAAACCAACCATATACTCAATAGGATATCACTTCCATTAATCATCTCAAGACTTTGGTGATTCCTGATATAAGCAGGAATCTTGTAAGGAAAGCAGGTTTTGTCTTAAAAAAAAATAATCTTCAAGTAGATAAGGTGATAACTACAGAATGCAGTCAGTTTAACAAAAGAAACAACTCCTCCATGTAAACAATCCCGTCCTTTGGTCGCAAGTACACCTCTGTAAGAGGTTTGCGCTTCTGCCTGTCTAACTGAACAAAGCCTGGGTAATGAGAGCTCGACATTGGTTGGTGCTACAAGAAAGTAAATGGAGATGAAGCAGGCTAAGCAATGTGGAGCTTAGCTACCTGCTGAAACTGGGGAGAAAAGCTGCTCTCCTCTGCTGGGTTTGGCTGGGTAGAGCTAATTTTCTTCATAGTAGCTTGCGTGGGGCTGTGCTTTGGATTTGTGACCAAAACCAAGGCCTTTTCTGCTCCTCACCCCTCCCCACCAGCGAGTGGGCTGGGGCTGCACAAGGAGTTGGGAGGGGACATAGCAGAGACAGCTGCCCCCACCTGACCAAAGGGATATTCCATATCATATGACGTCATGCTCAGTATGTAAAGCTGGAGGAAGGAGGAGAAAGGGGGGCCCTTCGGGGTGCTGGTGTTTGTCTACCCAAGGAACCATTACATGTGATGGAGCCCTGCTTTCCTGGGGATGGCTGAAGACCTGCCTACCGATGGGAAGTGGTAAATGAATTCCTTGTTTTCCTTTGCTTGCATGCACAGCTTTTGCTTTACTTATTAAACTGTTTATGTCTCAACCTGTGAGTGTTCTCACTCTCACCCTTCTAGCTCTCACCCCCATCCCAGCCGGGGAGAGTGAGCAAGTGGCTGTGTGAGGCTGAGCTGCTGGCCGGCCGTAACCCTCGACAGCCTGTTTCCTTCCACGGTGCTCAGATGTAAAACTGCAAGCTGTGGTCTCAAATGACACCGTGAGTTTATTCTTCCTAATGACAGGCAATGATAATAAGGAAAAAATACGAAACACAACAAGGTGTTATATGTAAACATTTGAAATGGATTTATTATTTTAAAAATCATTTTTACAGTTGGATCATACGGTATTCTTCTGTACGCCTTAAGTTAAAAGCCTCCAGCTTTTACAAATGCCGCCCAGTACAAAAGTGCTAATGTAAAACTGTAGTGTTTGTGGGTATAAACCAGCACTACATATCACGGAGTATCGCTCTAAATAGTCTCTTCACCAGTTGCAATGAACGGAGAAGAGGTGGAAGATGAGACTTCATAGTATTTAAGGGCTTCCTTCTTTCCCCTTACAGTTCCGTCTTCAGGAGCTTCAGAGCTTTCTGCATATTTGAATACACTAGAAATGAAATAGTCATATGTGTTAGTCTGTTTGTTTGTTTGTTTTGCAACTTCCTCTTCCATTAACTACAAATACTACAGAGAAAATGCCATTGTTACTAATGCCTTTGCTCACATCCCTGTTGCTCTACGGATTCTGACGTGCATTTTGTGGAGGTCGTCTGCTTCTGACGGGTGAGAACATAGGTTGGTCCGTGCAAGCGCAGAGGCGCTGGCAGGGCAGAGACGGGAGCTGTGCAGCACTGGGGTGCTGCTGCGGGGGGGGGAGCTGTGGCACACACAACCCCTTCCTGCTCCCAGGTGGTTTCCTGGCCTGCCCTGGCTGGGCCTGTGTGCACGAGCTCTCGCCGCTCCTTACAGTGAACACTGCTGAATTATGCAAGTGCCTATTGACGTATGCTGTCTGTTAGCACAGATGGATGTTAAAGGCTCCAGGGCTCTGCCATCCTTCCCTTCACCTCACAGAGTTTAAAGCTAGCATCCTGTTTAATTTCATTCCTGGTTAACTGTCTTTCAGCAAGTACTGGGTGTGAGAGTCTGTACTGCCTGGCGTTATTCCTTGTCAGGAAAACATGACTGCTTTCAGAATGCACTACTTACACAGTGAAATGTCAGAGGGCTCGTATGCGTACAGACGGTTTGAGTATCTTCCAGTAATATCTGCTCTCACAGTCAGGGAAGGATCTGGAAAAAAGGATGAGAGAAGTTGTAGAAGACAGGATAAACCTGCAATTAGAAGGAAGTAGAACTTTCTGCACTTCTGCTTGCTTCCTCTGTTTCTGGAAGACAGTGTTTCTGCTTGATCTAAAAACCATCAGATTGTTCTTCTACGCAGTCATCTACATCTCAGTTTTAAGTGTTGTGTTCGCAGGTTTAGTAAGAAGGGGATGGGTTTGGTTCTGATCGGTGTTGCTCAGCCGTACACCCTCTGGCACTGCACAGCACCTGAGCTGAAGCTATCAGCCCGGGCTGCTTGCAGGCTGCAGCCGTTACTGCAGAAGAAATGATGGAGACAGAGCTAACACGGCAGTTGCTTTGGTCTGTTAACGTGACCTAGATTCCTAAAGGTACGTGTTCACGACACCTGGGCACAGCATCTGCTCTGGGAGAGGGAATGCATGCATGGCCACTCCTGAGTCTCCGAAACACACGCTTCGGAGGGGTTTGTGCAGGTTAGGGGGGGTACAGAAAGAAGAACTGAGCTCTGAAATCATCCAACAAAACCAGCTAGAAATTTTATGTTTCTCATGGAATAAATTCCTGTTAATAAGACCGAGGATTTGAGGTTCATGGTGCAGCAGGGGCTTTGAACTGAGATCAGCTTTGATGCTTGAGGTACTCACCTACAAACAAAATCCGAGGGACATACTGGCCATCAGGTGAAAGATTCTTGTCTGTGGTTTCATACTTAAAGAAAATAGATAAGGTTCCCAGTCAGGATTGCAGGGGGGGCATGTTACATAAACGTATTTTTCCTTCTTTGTACTTTGTGTTATGAAATGGAGCTTAAGAAATTGCGGTTCAAGAAATTCACTGTCTGGGATGCAGCCTTTTAACAGCTGGAGTTGCAAATCGATAGCAGTTAATCATATTAATAAACTTGAAATTCCCTCATATTTTTAGGTTACGATAGCTACAGATGAAAGAGGCTTATCCCTATGTCTACTATGCTTCAGCACTGGCCATTTCCTGGGCAACCCTCGTGCTTTCACTTAATGCAGTGTAACCAGGAAACTTACCACAAGGTTCAGGAGAATGAATTTTTCAGCCAGTTTCTGTATATCTTTATGTTCGGCAAAGACCTTCTTGAGGGCTTGAGGGGAAACAAATGGGAATGAAGGTTAAAAATATGCCCCTGAAATCCATTGTCCTTGAAAAAGAAATTCAAACTGATAGAATCACAGTGAGAATTCCCGGTTTACAATTACAGCAAGGGAAGATTTTAAGTTCCTGTCACTGAAAGACAATCAACTCATTTATATTATGCAGTGAAGAGTAATTATGTTGGTACAATTGTCCCTCCTTCCCTCAGAGAGTGCAGCTCTCAGATTTGTCTGCTGAAGTTTGAATTTGAGCATCTGACACCTCAAACCTCCTGTTCTACTGTTGCAGCCTCTGGGTCAGGTTTGTAAGGCAGAGACAACGTGGTGTGGGGGTGCGGGGCTTCAGCCTGAGGTGTCTGAAAGGATTTTAATGCTCGTACAAAGGTCCTGCTGGAGTTACTCCAACTGGGTGGACGCAAAGGTCTTTGGCTGATGGTGACGCCAGCTAAACCCAGATTTGCCACAGGTCAAACCCTGCTGACCAGTGCTCGTTTTGATATCCATTCTGGATCCCGTCATCCTGAACTACCGTTTTCATTTCGTTTCCGTACGTTGGAAAGACGACGGCCTGGAGAACGCCCCGCGTGCTCGTGCAAGGCAGCGTTTCACCAGGGCATGCTCAGCAAGCAGCGCTGGGGCGGGGGTTGGTCGGTTGGTTTTTTTTTCGGGGGTTTTGGGTATTTGTCTGGGGTTTTTTTTTTTTGTTTTTAAGCAGCGCTTATCCACACACTGAATCCCAGCTGATTTCTGTATTTTTCGGGGCGGGAGGATTACCTTGGCTGTGCGGGCAGTCGTCCAAGTGGTGGATAATCATCAGGGGGCTGTTGCTGGAAGAGAAGGTTCCTGGTTAGAGGCCGGGGGATGCACCAGGGGGTGCGGAGCAGGGCGCGGAGCGGGGCGCGGTACC